GTTGCTGTTGTTTCTCTCCTGGTTTTCAGTTCTCTTTTTGCTCTCCTCTCTGGGAGATTTCTCCACGGTTATTTTCCAAAGTGTCCACTGAGATTTTCCTTTCTACCCTTGGATTTGTAATGCTTTATTTTGGCTCTTCTCTTTATTTTGTTTTAATAGCATTCTGTTTTTGTTTCATGTATATAAGATCCCCTTCTATTTCTTTAAGTTTATCATTAGTTTTATTCCACATGGTCCCTCAAGAGTCCATTGCCCCAAGTTGCTTTTCTTTTCTTTTCTTTTTTTTGAGACAGAGTCTTGCTCTGTTGCCCAGGCTGGAGTGCAGTGGCACAATCTCGGCTCACCGCAAGCTCTGCCTCCTGGGTTCACTCCATTCTCCTGCCTCAGCCTCCCAAGTATTTGGGACTACAGGTGCCCACCACCACACCCGGCTAACTTTTTGCATTTTTAGTAGAGATGGGGTTTCATTGTGTTAGCCAGGATGGTCTCAATCTCCTGACCTCGTGATCCACCTGCCTCGGCCTCCCAAAGTGCTGGGATTACAGGCGTGAGCCACCGCGCCCGGCCTCCCCCAAGTTGCTTTACTTAATCAGTTGAGTAAATTTTGGTTTCTGTCATTCAGCTTAGATACTTTCCTCATGTGTCTGGTGATTCTTCTGTGTGAGAGTAGGGAATTAGACTTGTATAGTAATTCTTCACGAAGCCTGGCATGGTGGCTCATGCCTGTAATCCCAGCACTTTGGGAGGCCAAGGCAGGAGGATTGCCTGAAGCCTGGGGTTTGAGCAACACAGTAAGACCCCCATCTCTTCCAAAAAATACAAAAATTAGCTGGGTGTGGTGGCATGTGCCTGTAGTCCCAGCTACTTGGGAGGCTGAGATGGAAGGATCGCTTGAGCCCAGGAGGTGGAGGCTGCAGTGAGTCCAGATCACACCACTGCACTCCAGCTTGGGTGACAGAGTAAGACTCTGTCTCAAAAGAAAAGAAAAGAAAATCTTACTGACCTTAGTGGATGGTTGTTTATTGTCATTTACGGGATGAACCACAGGATGATTTGGCTGGGACTTTGCATGTCTTCCGGTATCAGTTTTTCCTTTTGAGCTGGTCAAATTTACCCCAAAAGAATCTTTTCGTCTCCCGTCTAGAAAATGTATGTGTATTGCTAGAATTCTGGGATCCAAATTGGAGAAGAGAGCTGGAAATCTTACTATTAGACATGTAAACCCTAATTTCATATTCCTGCCTTCATTTTCCATAAAGCACATTCTTATCCTTATCTGTACTACATACTCCTCAGTGTGGAGACCCTGTATTTTATTTTTTTAGAGAATAAAACTCTTGTTTGCAAGGAAGGAGGGGTTTTAGTGATCTATTTCTCAAACAACAGACTTCCAACCAGTCTTTTTCTTTTGAGACAGAGGACAGAGTCTCGCTCTGTTGCCTAGGCTGGAGTGCAGTGGTATAATCTCGGCTCACTGCAATCTCCACCTCCTGGGTTCAAGCAATTCTCCTGCCTCAGCCTCCCGAGTAGCTGGGACTACAGGTGCATGCTGCTATGTCTACAATATTTTGTATTGTAGTAGAAATAGAGTTTCAGCATGTTGCCCAGGCTGGCCTTGAACTCCTGAGTTCAGGCAACCCGCCCACCTCAGCCTCCGAAAGTGCTGGGATTACAGGCGTGAGCCATCACACTCAGTATTTTTTTTTTTTTTTTTTTCAGAGACGGGTCTTTCTCTCACACCCAGGCTGAAGTGCCATGGCATGATCACAGCTCTCTGCAGCCTGGAACTCCTGGGCTCAAACAATCCTTCCACCTCAGCCTTCCAAGTAGCTGGTACTACAGGTGTGCACCACCATTCCCGGCTAAATTTTTAAATTTTTGTAGAGACGAGGTCTCCCTATGTTACCCAGGCTGGTCTGAACTCCTGGGTTCAAATGATCCTTCCACCTTAGCCTCCCAAAGTGCTGGGATTATGGGTGTGAACCACTGTAGCTGGTCCACTCCTCTTATTTTCAACTCTGTTTCTAGAAGTACCTAGTGCTGCCAATTCCTGAGGTTTTGGGGGATTCTGTGTTATAAATTGGGTTGCTTCAATCCATCATCTTTATCCATGAATTTCAATCTTAGATATCTCTTGTCTGTACTCTCTATCAAGGACATGTCAGTATCTTTATTATTTTTCAAATGTATGCCGTTAATAGCTTTAAAAAATAACTTTGTTACCTGTGGTAATATTAGCTTATGGTTTTAATTGGCTTACACTCTTTATGGACAAGCATGAAATAATGTCCAAATTTTACTTCATACGTGTCACTTTTTGCTCATAAAATGGTAATGAATCACTATGTAATTAAATACTATTTTTTATCCTGCATTCTAGGATCTTCATGATGAATGTACATCTTTCTGGGCTAATATTCCATTACTGTATACATTCAAATAAATAAGTATGGATTCTTCATGATTCCCTCTCCTGCTTTACGACTTCTTGTCTCTTTGTCTTTGCTTCTCACAGTTCTTAGAGTGTGGAAGTTCCTCTCTATCCTTTTCTGACTATTGCAATCTTATTTCCCCCTCAGCGCTCATTTCCAGGGTGACCTCTTTCATGAAATCTTTATTTCAGCATTCCTTCATTCATGTAGTCATCTTTTTGCTCATTCACTGTATATTTACGGAGCCCCTAGCATGTGCTAGGCAATGTGCTAGGCTACAGGGATACAAAGTAAGCAACAAAGACGTTGTCCCTGCCCTCACAGAGCTTACAGTGCAGTGGGAACAGGATGGAAGCAGGAGACAGATTTAAATAATGACATAATAAATACATAGCTATGAGTTGTGGTTAGCATTAAGAAGAAACGATTGTGTCTAAAAAGTGAACAAAGTCTTCCCTGCCCAAGTGACTTTTGGGCTACAATGTGAAGATAGGGAGGGGATGGAGCATTCTTGGTAAAGGGAAGAACAAGGGAAAAACTAGGAAGTGTGAAGGACTGAGGAATGTTCAATGACCCGAAGGAAAACCAAAGTGACAGAGAGCAAAGAGATACAGTGGCAGATGATGGGACTGGAGAGTTAGGCAGGGGCTAGATCAAGCAAGGCCTTGTGGTCTAACTTAAGGAATTTTGCACCTTACCATAAGACTAACGTAAAGTTCCTGAAGTGGTTTGAGTGGGAAAACCTATGACTAGATTTGTATTTTTACCACATCACTCCACCTGCAGTGTGCAGAGAACACTGGGTAGGCTCAGAATGGAAGCAGGGAGGCTATTTAGGGGGCAGTGCAATTCATGCCTATGGGAGATAATGACAGCTCGAACTCAGGCTATGGCAATGGTGATAGAAAGAATGTTTGAAAAATATTTAGAAGGTAAAATTGACAGGACTTGATGGACTAGATGTGGCTGGTAAGGGAGAGGGAATAATGGCGGAAGATTCCTGGATTTCTGGCTTGTTCAAAGGCGTGGATGTTGATTCACTGAAATGAGAACATTGTCTCCTCTTTTAGGACATAAAAGAATAATGCAAGCCAAAATGTGCTGTTTTGCATATGCTTTTATCTGACTCTCCCCACTAAATTACAAGCATAGGTGAAGGAGAGAATATGCTTCATCTCTGTATTTGCAGATCCTCCTGTCCTCAAAGTGTCCAGTCCAGTGTTTATACCAGTGGAAGGAAGAGATAATGCTTGATTCTGATTTTGGAAACTGGAATATGACTGAGAGTTGGACTTAAAAAAAAAATAGGTGGCTGGGCACAGTGGCTCACACCTGTAATCCCAGCACTTTGGGAGGACAAGGTGGGCAGATCACAAGGTCAGGAGATCGAGACCATCTTGGCTAACACAGTGAAACCCTGTCTCTACTAAAAATACAAAAAAATAGCCGGGCGTGGTGGCATGTGCCTGTAATCTCAGCTACTCAGGAGGCTGAGGCAGTGGAATAGCTTGAACCCAAGAGGCGCAGGTTGCAGTGAGCCGAGATTGCACCACTGCACTCCAGCCTGGGCAATAGAGTGAGACTCCGTCTCAAAAAAAGAAAAAAAAGTAGGCTTAGGAAAGATTTTTACCTCCATCTTCTAATATTTTTTCTAAGTTGTATGAAAAACAAATGAGATAGCAAATATAAAAATATTTGTGTGAGAAAAAGGTCTCTCGAAAGGGATTTATTGTCATTATTATCATTATACCTACGTTTTCTTTGGCCCTCACTTTAAGTTTCATATATTTCTCTTATTTGTAAAAATGAGAACTAGGTAAGACATGTTAGCAAAGGATCTAATCAGTGCCAGATACAATGAGATAGATTTGTTTTTGCTACACGCACAACTCCATGGGATGTCTGCTGGACCACTTCCAGATATTATCCCATGTGTTTGCAGAAACTTCTACCTTACTTAGTGTATTACGTAGTATTTGTCCACATTGAATCTCAATCAGTCTTTAAGTAAAAGCAATTACTTAATAAATGTTGAAATTAACTAGTTCTTGAAAGCATACCTGCTTCATTAGGAAGACCTTTATAAATATTATTAAAACAAATGTCATAGGACATTTGGAAGACAAACAAAAGGTCTTTCTGGTTCATAGATTTCAAATACTGTAAGACCCATAAAACAGTGCAGCTTATCACCTAGCCAGTGTAAAAGATTGTGAAATACTGAGTGGTGCTGTCTTTGACAATTAAAAAGGGCTTTTATTTATCTTTTGGGGTAAATTAACTATTTGGAAAATATCAATAATGAGGGACAGTCTTTTGCACTTTGATATTTTCTATTGCATGTTACCACTGTACTAGCAAACAGAAAAATATTATATCCCAATCTATTTGAGTGATATATCTACACTAAAGTTCAATTTCACCTCTGAAGTGAATATGAATTGTATTTAATGAAACTCTAAGAAGAGTTGTACAGAGTGAAAAGGTCAAATAATTTGGAATCGAATTTGTCAAGTAACATTTTACAAAAGTGACATATTTTCTTTTTTCATTCTTCATCATACTCACAATTCAAAACTGAGTCCAAATGTCACTTCCCCTGTTCTGATTCGTCTCTTCTCTGCCTGGCAGAATTAGGCTTTTTCCTCTGGGCTGGAACAGCCCCTTTTCCTTTCCTGTGAAATAAAACTTACAACATGATATTGTAAATTTTGGGTTTCCTGAAGGGAAATGATTTTCTATTACTCATCTTTGAACCCCCTATGCCCATCAGAGTTCTTGGCCCACAGCAAGAGCTCAGCATGTTTGTTGAATGAATAATGTAAATTCCCTCAAAGCACATGAATTCATTTCATGCTAAAAAATTTCACGTTCAAATGTATATTAGCTAGTTTCTGTAACAAATTCCAAAATTTCAGAGGTTTAACCAAATGGAATTTTATTTTTTATTCATATAACAGCAATGTGGTTGTTCTTGTTCAGCAGGAGGGTAGTTTTAAGGACTCATACTCGTTTCTTATATCTCTGGCTTTCTCTAGGGCCTCAGTCAGAGTCTTAAATTTGTGTTGATTTACATCTTTGTAATATAGAAATCCCTGGATATATTCTTATATAATGCACTGCATACTACCTTATGCAAGTCACTTATCTCTCATTAGTTCATATACTTAATATTTGAGGGTCTAATATATATAAGACAGTTCTTTAGGCTCTTAGGATATAACAGCTAATGAAACAAAGATCTCTGCCCTTGTGGAACTTACATTTTATTGGAGGTAGACAATGAATAATGGGTTAAATAAAATCATACAATATGTTAGACGGTGATAAGTGCTATGGAAAAATAAAAGGTGTGGCAAGGCAAAGGAGATTAGGAGTATGTAGATGGTTAGTTGAAAGGGGGGTAGATTTACAGGGTAGTGGAAATCAACAGTTCTGTTTTGGCCACTCACTTTACAGAAGGGCTGTGAAGGAGGCAGGAGGTTTGAGGAATCTGGAGTTTGTGGGAGAGGAGTAAGCCTGACACAGAAACTTGAGAGTCATCAGTGTGTGAATGTGATTTGCACCCAAGAAAGTGTATGAGATCTCTGAGGGAGTAAGGTTAGATTGAAAGGAGGTGAGACCTGAGGACTGAGCCCTGGGGATATGCCAGCATTCATAGATTTGTAGAGAAGGCAGAGCCAGCGTGAGACCGAAGAGTGCCAAACCAGGGGAGGGTTTGGGTGTCGGAACTTGACGCAGAAAGTGTTTCAAGGAGAGTGTAGACAAGCATGTCAAATGTGGCCAAGAGGATGAGGAAGATGAGGACTGGGAACTGTCAACTGGCTTTGGAAAAAAGGAGATAATTGCTGATCTTGGTAAGAGGCAAAATTCCGTGGAGGAGTAGAAAGCCTGACTAAAGTGGTTGGAGAAGGAATGAGGAAGTGTGGGTGGTAAATATATAGCACTTTTCCAAGGAGTTTTGCTGTGAAAGGGGGCAGAGAAGTGAGGTGGTAGCAGGGTATACTGTGTGTGTGTGTGTGTGTGTGTGTCTACCTATGGACAAAGGAGGTTGTTTTGCTTTCTTTTCCTCTTCTTTAAAAAGCAAACAAATATGGGTATGTTATTATGACATGTGTGCCACCAAAGGGAAAGACCCAGTAGAGAGGAGGCATTGTTGAGGTGGTAGAGATAGGAGAATTCGAGAAGTGAAGCCTTGAGATGGCCAGAGAGGATGGGATTCATAGCTCAAGTGGAGGATTTTTCTTGAGTGAAGTGACACAGAGGGCAGCATGGCTAATAGAGAGCTTGGGCTCTGGATGAGGCAGCATCCCCTCTTTTATCCTATGGACAATTCTCTAGTTTCAAATACATTCTTGATATGGATGCTTACCTGGATTTGAAGGATCTTATAATGTTGAAATTCACTACATGTTCTCAATTTGGTGGTGGAAGAGATAGTGAGAAGCTGTAACTTATGCAATGGTCACCTGGCTGACTCTTCCTATCCTTTTACTCTCAGTTTATCACTTCCTTGAGATACCACCCTCATCTAAATTATGTTCTGCTATTTGCTAATACAGAACACGTACTTCTCCTGTTATGCCACCTACCAAATTTTATTTTTTGATAAGTTTTCTTGTTGTTTCACTTAACTAAAAACTCCATGAGGAAAGCAACCATATTGCTCATTCTCTCTATTGTATCTCCAATACCTGTACAGCCCAGCGTCAAAGAAGAGTTGAATACAGATATGCCTGCCAGGCAGTGGGAATGTAATACATATATTTATTGAAAGAATAAATAAATGAGATTGTGTATGAGAGAGTGTTCAAATTTAAACTAACTACCTTTTAGATTTCTTTAGCAAGATCTCAGGAAATCCTTTTCTAATTCAATGAGAGATAGGGATTTATGTGGAGAAGAGTCTTTAATGATATCTACCCAGACATCCATTTTTTTCCTTGCATTGTCACAAAACATCTGAATTAGATTATGGCTGAAAAAATATAATTGCATTACATTCAAGTGATTTAGTGACACAAATTATTTGTTAATAAAGCTTCTTACACATATGTTTAATAGATACCAATTTTTTTTCCTGACATTGAGGGAATAATTTTATCTTTCTTAAGAAGGATTTTATGAGAACTGGTATTAGCTCCCACATGTGCAAACCAGTGAAAAATCCAATATTAATCATTTTAAAAGATGTCCAACCTTGTTTTGTACAGTCATGCTATAGGCTTGTGTCATCCTTATAAAGTGGTCCTGCAGCCTCCCCATTCTTCAGTGGGGCAAATCCCTGGTCTCATCCATTTATGACTGTTATTCTTATGGTCACAGGATGCTGTGGCTCAGATGTTGGGTCCATTTGTGGTCCCATTTATGGGCCAGTATTGCTATTCCACATCTCCAGGTCCAGGTCCTTGCTCAGGTTCTGTGGAAACTCCACATGAGAGCATCTTGGGTAGGTCTCCAGACTGGGCTCCTGATGTCCTGCCCTGTACCCTTTAAGTGCCTGACACCATCAAGACCCTGCCACTGAGCTGCTGCAGAATCTGCAAACCTTGTCCTTATTCACAATTCTGCATCATTATCAAGTGGAGCAATGCCTAATCCTCCCCTGCCAATTTCCCATACAGAAAAATTCATCCTGCTTCTTCTTTCAAAACTAGGGCTTCAGGAAGCACTGGATAACCCAGAGCACCTAGCCTCAGACCCACCACAAATGAACCTGTGTTTTTGGGAGTGAAAAGTACCTGACTTCCAGAACACAGAGGCTTGATTCCTTCCTTTCAGATGGCTCTGCAGCAACTGAGAACAAAAAAAAGCACAAATTAATTTCCCAGCTGGTCACCCTGCTGTATAATATTTTCAATAAGTCACGTCGTAAACACTCAATCCACATTTGCTGAATGCACTGGATTCTAACACTATATAAGAAACTCCTTTAATATACAGATAACATTTTTAATTAGCACTTTGCATAAATGGTTGGGCTAGAGGCCTTAAAAATTTGTGGTCTGGAAAGTAAAATTAAACATTACCTTTAACTTCACTGTTTTTAATATTCTTAATTTGTCTGAAACATTTTCCACACAAAACTGGCCTATTTCTATGTGGCTGACTGAAGATACTAAGCTCATATAGGATTTAGCTTTGGTATTTTATTTTCTTTAGCTTGCAAACAGAAATATTTATTTTGTTTGCCCAAAACATATACTCACAGTCAGATTTGGGGGTATGTAAGCATTGTGTTTATAGGCAAAGAATGATCAAGTATCTGCATCTCTCTGTTCCTCTCTGGGATTTACTGTCAAAAGCCCATGCTTGCCTAGTCACAGTATCGCCTGGTCAGTTCAGCTTCTGTGGAAGTCTGTTATTTTCCTTGATTTCTGGGGTTAGAATGAGTGACCAGAAACACATTCTGTCTCCCAGGATACAAGCCTATTGAGGTTGCTGGAAAATGAGCACAATTAGGATCAGCTCATTAACTGCAATGGTTTTCAGAGCATCACACTGAGCATGTAACCCTATGTGGTCAAAGACATTGCCCATTAGCCAGCATCTGGACAATCACCTTTCCATGTGGTTTCTCTGAAACATTTCACACTCTCTATAACTGAAGCAAAGAAAATAGAACACCTTTAATGAGCAATTACAATTAACACACCGACTCACTGAAAAGTCACAATTGTGATATGTTAGGTATTAGTGTATATATTTGTAATCATGTTTGATTTTGATTTTCTTTGTCTTACAGTTAGCACTTTTTCTAAGAAGATTTCTTGAGTATTTTCAGAAAGTAACTATAGTTCTGATTCAATATAGATTCAAAGAAGACTAGAGAGAGATATGTGGCACTGCCTATGACATTCTAGGTGGCCTTGGGCAAGCCATTTTACAGGTAATGAGGGGCTGGGCTAAATCAGTGCTTCCCCATGATGGCTGAAAAATTAAAAATCCCCTTGGGAGCTTTTAAAAGTACCATTTTTCAGGTACTACCCCAGATGAATTAAATCAGACATTGTGGGGTGGGAGCTGGCATTGTATTATTTAATAGCTTCTCAAAATGATTTTACTGTGCAGCCAGGATTGAGACCATTAGACTGGATGATCTATACATGTTTTACCAGCTTTCACAGTCTATGAATTATTTCAGCATGTTTTCCCTGGAAGAAAGTTTGTATTATACTGCAGTCTTTTTATTCAAATTTTTGGTGGCATTTCCCTTGTTCATTTCTCAATGTAAACATTATTTAGGTAATTTGAAGAAATAAACATCAAAATTTTGTACTTGAGGTTTCTAACAACACAGAGCTGGAGAGGAGGGCATTTTTGGTGTTAGCTGGGCTGTGAGTCTATATGCAAATGAGGGGTGGTCTCCAATGCCTGTCAGTTACTCGACCAGTGTGTCTGTGACCCAAGGGCCTGGCTAACTCCCTCAAGGGTAGTCCTGCCTCAGCACTAAGATTAGGACCCAGAATCATCTGAGCACTACTGAATAGAAGTCCTTTAACTTGACATGTAAGAATCATTGCACAGAACTCCAAGCGTGAAGGATGCTAGGTGGTGCTAATGTGCAGCTGGGTTGAGAAACATTGACCACACTAATACAATCTAATTTTTTATAAAATGTAAAATATAATTGGCACCTTGTAATTTAATTACCATAGACTAGCTGTGTAGTTTAGGCTAGTTAAATGTGTTCTCTGTGCCAGAATTTTGATCTGTAACATGGAGCTAATAATAGTACCTTTTAATTGGATTATAGTGAAGCTTAGTTGAGATGATTGAGGAAATGAGCTTAATTTAGTGCCTGGAACATGGTAAACACTCAAAAATGTTACCTATTATTACTAAAACTATACTATCACTATTGTTATATTATTATTTTTTCCATTTTTTACCTTTATATTGATATTTAAAAAAACATTATGGATGTGGGTGTCAGGGAAGGTGCAAGCTTTCTTTTCTATGATTAACAGCAGGAGCTGATGGGAACCAAAAGTTCCAGGGGATTAAAAAATATATACATATATATATATACACACACAGACACAAACACACATTTATATATACTGCACTATGCATGTGAGTCCCAGAGAAGCAGGAAGCAGCAGCAAGAAGCAACTAGCACACAGCAACACCTGGGTATGTGCACCACACACTCAAGCAAAGCCATTCCTCTGGCTAGGGCAGCAGCAATCCTCACCTTCACATCAGCTCACAATAGAGAAAAAATAAACTTCCTTTTTTTTTTTGAGACTGAGTTTCGCTCTTGTTGCCCAGGCTAGAGTGCAATGGCATGATCTCAGCTCACTGCAACCTCCACCTCCCACTTTCAAACAAAGTGATTCTTGTCCCTCAGCCTCCCAGGTAGCCGGGATTACAGGGGTCCGCCACCATGCCTGGCTAATTTTTGTATTTTTAGTAGAGATGGGGTTTCACCATGTTGGCCAGGCTGATCTCAAACTCCTGACATCAGGTGATCCACCCACCTTGGCCTCCCAAAGTGCTGGGATTACAGGTATGAGACACTGTGACCAGCTTTTTTTTGAGACAGAGTCTGGCTTTGTTGCCCAAGCTGGAGTGCAGTGGCACAATCTCGGCTCACTGCAACTCCACCTCCTGGGTTCAAGTCAGTCTCCTGCCTAAGCCTCCCGAGTAGCTGGGACTACAGGCACCCTCCACCATGCCGGGCTAATTTTTGTATTTTTAGTAGAGACAAATTTTTGCCATGTTGCCCAGGCTGGTCTCGAACTTGTGACCTCAAGTGATCCACCCACTTCGGCCTCCCAAAGTGCTGGGATTACAGGTGTGAGCCACCCTGCCAGACTGAAACTTCTTTGTTTTTTTTTAAGGGCCACCCAGTAATTTCTGCCCTCATGACCAGGAAACAGAAAAGAAAGAAAGAAAAAACCCCAAGCTGATACTGCCTTGAAGTGGCCATTTTCTCCTCTCTGCCAAAGCAGGACATGTTGTTTATTCATTTATTTACTTATTATCTCTTTCCACACGTTCTGAAGGACACTGTGTTAAAAGTTAAAAGGACACAGTGTTAAAAGTTATTTTTAACACTGAGGCTGGAAGGCCAAGTTATTGTCCCTCACAAATACTTCAAACAGTTGTCTTCAAGATCCTATGGTTCTTTGCCTGACATTTTTTTTTTTTTTTGATACCGCGAAGAACAGGAGGGATGAAAGGGATCCATCCCTTGCTTCCTTTAAGATGGTCTCTAGGCAATGGGTTTTCTATAAGTCTGGCACAAATTCTGGAGCCAATCTCTGGCAAAGCAGAGTGCCAGGCAAGGCCTAGGGACCCAGGGTCTGTGCTTAAAGCCTCTCGCTCACTGGAAATTATTGACCTCCGGAGATACACAAATATTTTTTAATTTAAAGGGGAGATGCACAGCACACCTTCCTCCACTGGGAGAAAGGGGGCCCAATTCCCACTCCCCCAAACACACACAGGTACACATTGACTAAGGCACAGCTAGGGCAGGCGTGGGCAGAAGTCCCCTTGGGAGGACGTGGCACCGACAGCTGCAAGGGGTGTGGAGATCTGGAGCTCATCACCTCTGGAGGTGCGTGGGGGCAGGAGAAGAAAAGCCTCAGGGCTTCCAAAGAAATAGGAGAAGATGGTTGGGAAACAGGCAGATGAGAAAACCAAAAGCAAACCTAGAAAAGAGATGAGGAAGGAAAGAAGAGAGTGGAAAAAGAGAAACAGCTTAGGGGTGAAAACAGGTTGTGGGCAACAGAACAAAATAGCAAGGAAACAGCAGAGGAAAGGGAAGAACATACATCAGAGAACTGGGAAAGAGTGCGATGAATTGGGAAGGAAAGAAAAAGGGGGAGGAGGGGAGATAGGGAAGAAGAAAACACAGGAAATGAATACTCAGTAAGAAAACTCGGGAAAGAAGGATGAAGAGGTTGGAGAGGCAAATGGGGCCCCTTGGGAGTCTTAGACCTTGACAAAAACCAGGTGGGCAGAGTACACCAGGTCGCCCACATAGGCCAGCAAGTTGACGGCTGTCAGGATGGTCACAGCCAGTCAGCGGTCCCAGATACACACAAGGTAGGGGTTTCTGTCGCTGCAGCTCACATCTCTCGCCTGCCAGGACTGGACACCATAATTCTCGTTGAACTGGTAGAGGGGCCAGAGGACAAGGGCAGTGGCATAGAGGAGGACGGACAGCAAGGCCAGCCCCAACAGGAAACTGTGGAAGGGGATGGGCAGCATGTTGGTGCAGTGTCCCAGGTTCAGCAGGATAGTGAGGGCTGCCAGGACGAAGCAGAGGGGGTACACCGCCACGCACCACTCCAGGGCCAGCCAGTTGTGGTACAGGTAGGGGCTGCTGATGAACACGAAGATGAGGCAGGCCACGAAGGTCTCCAGCACTTTCAGCAGCCCCGGCTTAGAGGCCATGTAGCCAGTGATCTCGCCGGGCCGGGCCCGGGTCCAGGCTACTTCGGTGGCGTAAGCCAGACACGCGATGCCAGAGAAGACAGTGGCGGCGACAGCGTGGTCGCGGGAAGGGCCGTGGGATAGGAACTGCACGTAGGTGATGGGATACATGATGGAGGCCGAGAGGCACAGGAGGGCCGCATAGCAGGCGATGGTGATGGGGAAGTTGCGCCAAAAAAAGGGGAAGCGGGCCTGGAACCCGCCCAGCTCCACGAGAAGTATGACCAAGGTCACGGCAAAGCAGAAACACCAGGTGAACATGGACCAGTTACCCATATATCCCCTCCAGGCGCCTGCGCTGGCTACCAGCGAGAAAGCCATGCAGGTGGACACCAGCTGCAGCAGGCAGAGGAGGCCCAGGGGCTGGGTCAGGGCCCTAGGGGACCCTATGACGGTGGGGGACCCCACAGTGGTTGTGACGGTTGGGTGGGTAACAGTCACCGGCATGGCGGCAGTCCCGGCTGAGGAACTCACAGAGAAAGGTCTGGCTGTGGAAACGGATTAAGTCACACACCTGGAAAAGGCTGGGAAAAGCGCCAGAGAGCGAGAGACAACGTCAGTATTCACTGGGACTTGGCTCCTCCCTCCCAGGACCCGACACCCCGTGGAACAGGAACAGGGCACCGCCAAGTCCGGAAGAGGCCTGACCTTGACCGCGGGAAGTCCCGCCCGTCTCCTTCCACCGGTTCCAGTACCTGTGTGGGCTGTGGCGGAGGGAACCCAGCGGAAGTGGACGCCGGCGGTAGGCGTGGGCGCGTGTGTGACGGTAATCCTGCTCCGGCAGGGACCAGGGGCAGGCGGTGGTGGCGGCAGGGCCTGGGGCGGCGCTGCGAGGCCGGTGGCCTGGCAAGGCCCGGCTCTCCCTCCTTATAAAGGCTTCAAGTCAGCCTAACCATTTTTAATTTTTAGTTTTTTTGAGATAGTGTCTCACCCTGTTGCCCAGGCTGGAGTGCAGTGGCACAGTCAGGGCTTACTGCAGCCTTGACATCCCAGGCTTAGGTGATCCTCCCACTTCAGCCTCCCAGGTCGCTGGGACTACAGGCACCACCTGCCTGGCTAATTTTTTGTGTTTTTAGTAGAAGCGGGGTTTCGCCATGTTGCCCAGGCTGGTCTTGAACTCCGGGGCTCAAGTGATCCACCTACCTCAGCTTTCTAAAGTGCTGGGGTCAGAGGCGTTGGAACCAGAGCAACTTCATCTTGAATAGGAGCTGGGTAAAAAAAAGGCTGAAACCTACTGGGCTGCATTCCCAGAGGTTAGGCATTCTAAGTCACAGGATGAGACAGGACGTCAGCACAAGATATAGGTCATAAAGACCTTGCAGATAAAACAGGTTGCCGTAAAGAAGCCGGCCAAAACCCACCAAAACCAAGATGGTGATGAGAGTGTCCTGGTCACCCTCACTGCCACACTCCCAACAGCGCCATGACAGTTTACAAATGCCATGGAAACCTCAGTAAGTTACCCTATATGGTTTAAAAAGGGGAGACATGAATAATCCACCCCTTGTTGTGCATATAATCAGAAAACCATAAAAATAGTTAACCAGCAGCCCTCTGGGCTGCTCTATGGAGTAGCCATTCTTTTATTCCTTTACTTTCCTAATCAACTTGCTTTCTTTGGAGTAGCCATACTTTTATTCCTTTAATTTCCTAATCACCTTGCTTTCACTTTACTGTACGGACTCTTTGAATTATTTCTTGAGCAAGATCCAAGAACCCTCTCTTGGGGTCCAGATCGCCACCCCTTTCTGGTAACGATGGGATTACAGGCAAGACTCACCATGCCTGGCTGTTGTTATTATTATTGATCTATGACCAAGACTTGCTCCAGGAAAATCTGCAGTCATTCTGTTGCTTGTCATTCTTCGAGGTTCACACCCAAAGCCTAGTCTCTAGGGGCCACAGGCTGTGGGGAAGTGGAGGGCTGAGAAGCCATGCATTCAGCTTCACCCTTTCTTTGCATCTGCTTTGTGCAGCTCTACTCTCTGAGGCCATCTGTCCTTGGATGAATAAGTGCCCTGGCTCTCTTATAGACTCCAGTTTCAAAGTTCTTCATATCCATGCATTTGTTCATTCATAAATTCATTCATTTATGTACTTCCTCATTCAAAGCGATACTTATGAATTAAATATATACTGAAAAGTTTCTTTCCCGAGGCAGAAATAATTTGTATTCAAGCATATAAACAGTTATGGTTTCATTCTCTGCTGTTTTGAGAGTGAAAGTATGTTTTTTTTTTTTTTTTTTGAGACGGAGTCTCACGCTGTTGCCCAGGCTGGAGTGCAGTGGCGCGATCTCGGCTCACTGCAAGCTCCGCCCCCCGGGTTCCCGCCTTTCTCCTGCCTCAGCCTCCTGAGTAGCTGGGACTACAGGCGCCCGCCACCGCGCCCGGCTAATTTTTTTTTTTGTATTTTTTTAGTAGAGACGGGGTTTCACTGTGGTCTCGATCTCCTGACCTTGTGATCCGCCCGCCTCGGCCTCCCAAAGTGCTGGGATTACAGGCTTGAGCCACCGCGCCCGGCCGAAAGTATGTTTTTAAAAGAAAGAAAGATCTCAGAGAAAACTGCATGTTGATTCTTTGAGGCTGTGGAAGCAGTAAAGAAGCCAGCTAAATAAAACCCACCAAAACCAAGATGGTGATGAGAGTGTCCTGGTCGTCCTCACTGCTACACTCCCACAGGCACCATGACAGTTTACATATGCCATGGAAACTCCCTCACGGTCCAAACCATGTGTGGGAGCAGTTGCCTCACTGGGGTACTGGGAGATACCAGCAGCACCCAGACTGCAGAGTCCAGGTTCTGCCCAGCACATGGCAGACACTTGCTCATGCTACTTCTCTTCACTGTATGTTTACATTAAATGAGCATCTGCATTCATTACATTATTGGGCAGATAGCCGTGCTCAATATAAATTATTTGTTTGAAGGTGTGACCAGATTACATGGGGTGAGAATTTCATTTGAGTCATTGGGTTTGAAGTCCCAAGTAGAAAATGTTATTTCCATAGAGCAAAAGGATGAAGAAAGTTTGTAAACTTGTATTTGTTGCTTTTGTACCACTGAGGTTCTTGCTCATTGATGGTCAGCAAATCTAGGTCAAACTTTCAATATGGTCACTGCACTGGGTGCTGCAGGAAGTGACAGGCTGCTGCTAGTGTTACCCACATAATGCAAAGTTGCTGCAAAAAGCTCTTCCAGTCCTTTCTATGTGGAATCTAGTGACTAAAGAGAACATCTGAGGGCCCTAGTTTACAAAAGATGCCCTTATTCGCCAGTGTTCTCTTTAAAAGACATATATATGAGAATACATTACTGACAATTGTAAAATGTTCAATTTGGTCAGTTTGCTTGTTTTAAATGTATCTGATATTCACCTGCATTGCTGATTTTAAGAAGTGCTTTCATATATGTTGCCTTAATTGATTTGGATGTCATGTTTCTATAGGTCTCTGGGACACATCTTCTGTGTGCATTATATTGTCAAGCATTAGGAGTTTAGTTCTTATCTCTACCTTGAGGGACCAGAATGGACCTATGATTCAGCAAGGATGCCTGCACACTGGCAGACTTATTGTAGTCAAGGACTTTGTTGTGGAAAACCTTACAAAATAATTTTTCTAGCTTTAAAACATAGTAGATATTTATTGTAAAATGTTTTCAAGTAGAAGAAATTATAAAAAAGAAAATAAAATTACAATCTGACTGTGTATGTAAACACATGTAACTATTACTAAACACATGTAACTATTACCTCCCTTAACACCTCTTCCCTGGGTCAATTTAGCAAAATTATATTCTCCTTGCTCACTCAGCATTGTATTTGAAAATTTGAAAGTTTAACTATATCATTATATATATATATAATGCATCTGCTTTGTGCAGCTTTTATATATATATATATTCAAATATATGTATCTCATATACATATATATATATGTATGTATATTTAGGGGCAGTCTTGGGTCTTGGGTCTTGCCCTGTTACTCAGGCTGGAGTGCAGCAGCACAATCATAGCTCATTGCAGCCTTGAACTCCTGAGCTCAAGCAATCTTTCTGCCTCAGCCTCCCAAGTAGCTGAAACTACAGGGGCATGCCACTATGCCAAGCTAATTAAAAAAAAAATTTTTTTTTTGAGACAAGCTCTTGTTATGTTGCTCAGGCTAGTGTTGAACACCTGGCCTCAAATGATCCTCCTGCCTCAGCCTCCCAAAGTGCTGAAATTACAGGCATGAGCCACTGTGCCTGGCTCATCATACTTTTTGAAACAGTTATTTTTAGTGGCTGCATAACGTTCTGTTCTTTGGATAGATAGTTTACCATTTATCACTTATGTTTGGTCATTTCAATTGTTCCTGAGTTTTTTTGCAATTATTGACAATGTTACAAATAGAAAATAAGTGCAGGTGTGATTTATAGATGCTACTAATAGTATTCTAAGATGTTGGTATTAATCTGGATTATGGCAAAATCCTAATCTGGATAATATTCCAACATGCTAGTCCTAATCTGGATTTTGGTCCCCTCCCAAAATCTATCTTTCCTGCCTGTCTTTGGTTCTGGCTCCCACATCACTTCTCTCATCTGCCTCCATCCTGGGAAAATCTTTCCTTAACTTCAGGACATACTCGGTTCCAGCCCAGGCTCTGCCCCTCACAGTTAGTAGAAGGTTAGAAGTTTGTGCATTATGACTAACTTTTGTCTCATAATTAATATGTAGCTTGGTTTGAAGTTTGTTCGTAAGATTACAAAGCAATCAGTTTTTTAGTGAATGTAGTCATATTCTTAATTCAGTATTCTACTTCTTTGCTTAGTGAGCTACTCTTTAAGACCCAAAAGGACCAGATAATACTGTAGAAAACAGTATAAAACCTTTCAAGTGTATTCTCCTATACTTATGGTTACTTTCTGGAATAAATACTGAGAATAGTCCACCTCATTCCATGAAGTAGTTCTTATGATTTAAATGAATCATAAAATAAAAGAAGAAAATAAAAAGACAAATCAAAATGGAATCATGAAAAATAAATCCTGACTAAGATAAGAGTTGAAATCTAAGGGAAAGCTTTAGAAACACAGACGTGTGGCCCAGATGGCCCCAATGGTTACGAATGTTGAGCTTGAATTAGGCTCTGAACTGCTAGATCAAAATGAGAACAATGTTCTGTCACATAATTCACAATAATCTCGAACTGAAAACGAACCCTGCATTATGGGTTAAAGCAATTTGTGAAGCACAGAAATAGTTTTACCTTATTTGGCCTACCCTTGAAATTTTACTAAAGGCATCCTGGAATATTTTATGATTGTTGATGATTAAAGGAATCCTAGAATATTTTATGACTATCTTTCCACTGAGGCATACTCCATGAAAAACAGAAAAGTAAAACACAGAAATGGTGACCTCCACTGCACGTTCAAAATGTCTATGGTTTGTTCATCTGGGTGTGATCTGAGACTCCAAACCTCTCTTTAAATATATGTATTCAGTTTTGACTAGATGATATATTCACATCACATGTTTCAAAACACACAAGGCACAAAAGGACATATAGTAAACATCTTCCTCTCATCTCTGCCCCACAGTCACTCAGTTCCTGCGCCAGAGGAAACCCATGTCACCCAATCTTTTTTTTTTTTTTGAGACGGAGTCTTGCTCTGTCGCCCAGGCTGGAGTGCAGTGGCACAATCCCTGCTCACTGCAAGCTCTGCCTCCCAGGTTCACGCCATTCTCCTGCCTCAGCCTTC